CCCCCCCCCCGCTCTTGCATATCAACAACAACAATATTTACTACACCCACAAGTTCACAGACTGGTTCGAGCCCACAAACAGGTTAATGACCGATAGCGGTTAACGGCCCAAGGCGGGTGGGACTCTAACTGGCACCTGGCCCATGGTTCCAAGCCCCACAGTTGACGGGCAACAACGGTGAAGGGGCCGCAGGTGGAGCAAACGAACAAACAACCAACTCGACAAGTGGACGTGGACGACAATGTCTACACGCTCGCTCAACCGCCCACTCACTTCACTACGAGACACAAAGCCATCCTGCGTCTCCAAACTGCTTACCAACTGTCAAGCACGGAAAGGGACGCAAGTCAAAGGGATGCAAGTCAAAAAGACCAAAGTCAAAGAGATGAAAGCCAAAAGGACGGAAAAGTCAGCCTGCGGCAACCGTCTCTCGTCCTGTCCTGAAATTGAGACCAAGAGTAGACCCTCTCGGCGATTTCCCGCTCCTGTCATTATAACCGTCCCCGTCTTCATCGTATGATTTGCCGGCAGATCCCGTTCCTTGGCCTCCTGACCTGCGGCTTCCCGTGCCATTTCCGTGATGACGATGATTTGAACCGTTGCGGATAGGGCTTCTCGATCCCCTCCTTCCGCTCCCGCCTCTCTCCATCCCTCCTGCTCCAGGGCTGGAGGATGCAACCCCTGCCCCATCAACCCCCCCCCCCCTCCCAATCGACCCATCTGCTCCTCTGTCTGCGGAGGAAGCCATAGCCGCGCAATTGGCGTTATCTGACATAGCTGCCACTTTCCGGAGAAGGAGAGTCTTTTTCCACATTTCTCCGCTAGCGTTCCCGCGAGTTGCCTGTTGCTGTTGTTGCTGTTGTAGTTCCCCTTTCCCATTCTCACTGCGGGACCGATCGTCCCGCAAGTACCGCAACTCGTCCTGTAACAGTTCCAACCACGACTGAGGGTCAGGTTCCACCGTGCTTAGAAATTGAGAACCTGGTCAGAAAAATGGGAAAGGGGACCTGGTCGCGAAACCCAGCAAGAGCAACCATTTCTCTTTCTTAGCTCGTAATCAAAATCACTGTTATATCCAGAGTCAGTGTCAAACCGCAGAGTGCTTAAAAACTCCTGAACCTGACCAGAAAAATGGCCAGGTTCATGCTTGTTTATTTTTTTCGAACAAAAACATAGCATCATTGGGGACGGACCCGCCGGACACATCTGGAACAAGGGCTGCTGCGGAAACAATACGTTAAGCCTCCCGTGAACGACCGACAAAACAGCCCGCCACAACCCGTCCGTTCCCTTTGTCCTTTTCTCCCCTCCGTCTACGTACAGTTCACCAGGCGAGGCTTTTAGAAATAAATTGTAACCGAGAGATAAGAAAATGAACTTCGTACCTGTTTTTTTATTTTTTTTTATTTTTTTATTTTAGAGAAAAGAAAAAAAAAAACTTCGCCCAGACGAGACAAAACAGTCTTGTCACATAGCAATGAACAACTTTCAAGTCTGAAAGCACTCAGGAAACAAAATTCAATGTGGAAACCTACGTAGCACCGTGTTCGCGTTCGCCTCCGAACGCGAACATGTTCGCCCGAATGCGAACAAGTGCCCAAAACCCTCCGATCACGAACATAAAAAAAAGAAAAAAGGAAAAAAATTCTCAGAAAAATCTTATGTAAAATAACAATACAAGCAACTTTTGCTATGGTATCATGTTCAAATTCTTAGCCAATCATGAGTTAAAAATAAAAACCGAATTTTTTTATGCTTTTTTTTTTTTTTTACGAAAAAAATTATGTTTGCCCAAACAGGATCGCGCAAACGTGGAGGGGCGCGGACACGTTTGCCGTGCTACGCAGGTGGAAACAATAGCAGGATACTTAGAATATAGGAAAAATATTAGAAGGAAAAAATTCAAAAAAAAAAAACAAACTTTAGAAAAACTTTAAAAAAACCGAAAAAAAACTGAAAAAAAGTTAAAAAACTAAAAAACTTAAAAAAGAATGCACGGGGAGTCTGGACTCTGGAGTTTTTTTTTGTTTTTTTCTTTTGGGGAAACTGGAATTCTTTTCCTTCTGCTTCGTTCTTTTTCAGAGTTTTTTCTCTCATTTCTTTCCCTGTTTCAGCAGCAAGATTCACCACATTTGTGTAGTTGCGTTGAGTGGAACGAGAAAGCACGCGTTGCGTTCTGACAAAAGGAAGGATGAAAGGAAAAAAGAGCGGAGGACGGCAGACTTCAAACTGTGCATCTTTCCTTATCTTTCCCTTTTCTTTTCCTTTCTGTGCGATTTATGCATGTCAACCCTGCGCAGGGGCCTGCTAAGCTTCTCTGTATCGTTCCAATTTTAACGGGTGTCCCTTTGGTCTTTTCGATCTGGCCATCTGATGGTGTCTGGATTCGAACTTGGGTTCGTATTTCAACGGTCTGTGGGTAATCAACTGCGCTAGGCTCATTGGTCCCCTTAGTCTCTTCCTCTAATCTTTCTTAAAGGTTTTTCCGGATTCAGCATGCGGCGTCTCATTTCTTTCCCTGTTTCAGCAGCAAGATTCACCACATTTGTTTAGTTGCGTTGAGTGGAACGAGAAAGAACGCGTTGCGTTCTGACAAAAGGAAGAATGAAAGGAAAAAGAGCGGAGGACAGCAGACTTCAAACTGCGCATCTTTCCTTATCTTTCCCTTTCTTTTTCCTTTTTTTGCGATTTATGCATGTCATCCCTGCGCAGGGGCCTGCTAAGCTTCTCTGTACCGTTCCAATTTTAACGGATGTCCCTTTGGTCTTTTCGATCTGGCCATCTGATGGTGTCCGGATTCGAACTTGGGTTCGTATTTCAACGGTCTGTGGGTAATCGACTGCGCCAGGCTCATTGGTCCCCTTAGTCTCTTCCTCTAATCTTCCTTAAAGGTTTTTCCGGTTTCAGCATGCAGCGTCTCCGCACTTGGGTTTCTTCCCTCCGTTGAGTGGGAAGTACGCACACACCCGTCTGCTAGCAGCCTGTGGAGTGCAGTACGCATGACGAACAAGCGAGTCCCTCAGCAACTCGTAACATTGTCTAACCAGAGTCAAGGGTCTGGCAGCCCTCAACCCTTGACACTTGCTAACTGACCCTTGGGGCCCTGACCCTCTCTAACCAGGGGGGGTCAACGCGTTAACCAGACCCCCGGCGACTCTTTACCCTGCCTAACGAGGGTGGTCAGCGCTTTGACAACCCTTGACGCTTGCGCTGACTAACCCTTTGGGCACGCTGGCCTTGTCTAACCCTGGACTCAAGAATCAGCCAGACCCTTGGAAACCCCCTGAGCCTTGCTAACAAACCCTTTGCGCCCTGACCCTGTCCGCCCCCGTCAAGGGGGTTACCCAGACCCACCCTCGCTAACTAACCCTTGGGGCCCTGACCCTGTCCAACCCCGGTCGGCGGTTAACCAGACCCTTGGCAATCATTTGACCCATGCTAACTACCCCAACCCCGGTCACGGGTTAGCCCGACCCTTGGCAACCGTTTGCCCTATGCTAACTACCCTTCGACCCATGCTAACTACCCCTTGGGTCCCTGACCCTGTCTAACCAGGGTCAAGCGAAGACATGCACAAGAGCTCTCATATGGCATAATATGCACGGACAGGGTCACGTGTAGCCGGGCCAAGGGTCCGATTTACCAGGGTTCTTTGCATCTGGCCATCGATCTCCCAGACCTGCAGTTGGAAATGAAAAATTCAGGTAATCAGGAGCCCACCCCTGCACAGACCACCCTCTGCACACAGATACAGATGTGCACAGGGGGCGCCGAAAAGTGCATGTGGAACACAACGCCATGAGTAGTACAGAGACCGTCATCGCAAGCACAAGACTCAGTCTACTTAAGAGCATATACTGAGCTGTTCAATTTCTGCACAAATGGCAGGCAAGGTGTCAGTTCTCTACACTACTCTGCGTTTTCACAAAACAAACTGCCGCGTTTTCACAAAATCAAACCGCCGCGTTTTACACAAAAACAAACCGCCGCGTTTCCACAAAAACACACAGGAAAGAAGAAAGAAAGTTGGCCTCCCCAGAATGGATATAGAATGAGGACATGGCCTGTTTTTCTTTTGTTCCTTTTTTTTTGTTTTTGTTTTTTGTTTTTTCTGTCTTTTTTTAAAACTTTTTACCTGGTTTCCTTTTCTTAAAAAAGAGAAAACGGAAAAGAGAAGAGAGTAAGTCAATACCACCCAAAGCCTGGCCTGGTTGGCTGAGTGGTACACACACATAGATGTTGTTGATAAGCAGGTCATGAGCTCAAATCCTGATGGGTATGGAAATGTTAAGGGCTAACCAAACTCCCTGTTCCGAAAACGCAATTTTTTTATTTTATTTTTTACTTTAGTTTTGTTGTTTCTGAAGCAAGTTCCTGGGCTTATAGTTTAATTGGTTCAAACGCACCACTCATAACGGTGATATTGTAGGTTCAAATCCTACTAAGCCTATCTGGATTCTGGGTGTATAGCTTAGTTGGTAGAGCATTGGGCTTTTAACCTAATGGTCGCAGGTTCAAGTTTAAAATAGGAAATAAGAAGAACAGGAGAGTCTGCCAAACCTTCAGCGAGGCGTTGTCTGCAGCAAGTTTCTTGCACTCCTCGTAGAGACGCGTCAGCTCCGTCCGCAGTGTCATATTTTCATTAGTCAGCGTCTCGACTCTCGCTCCCAGCTCTTCGCATTCCGCCTTCAGTCCACATTCGATACGCAAGACGATCCGCACAAAGGCCTCACTCATCAGCATTCAGCAGTGATCCTCAGGAGAGAAACGCAGCTGTTGATGATCTTGGGGAGAGAAAGATTTTCATTCATTAACGATCTCTGGGAGATCTTGGGAAGGGAAACAAAGGACCTGTGTAGCACACTGAACGTGTTCGGGGCTTTCGTGAATGCCTGACCACGTTCGGGTGTGTTCAGACGGACGCCTCACGAACGTGTCCGGTCAAACTTTATATATATATCGTCAAATAGAACTGCCCATATATATAAATATATCGTCAAATAGAACTGCCCGGTAAACCGTAGGCAGAGAGGGAGAAGAGGACAACAAATATATTTGTGTTTTTTTTTTTAAATCTTTGTTTTGCAATCAGACTCGCTTTCTTCTTCACTTTGCATAAATACAGACAGAATCTGACAGATGGCATTTCCCACTGGCGCCAAGCGCCCACTCAAAGCTCAGAGATATGGGAACCGAGAACACAGTTCAGATGCAAACTCAGTTCAACCCGCTATGGCGCATCAGCGCCTGTACATACCAGCTCTCATCACTGTGTCCAACACCATTGTTCGCACACACTCAACCCTGGATCCCCCTGAATATCCCACGCACATACACTTTGCCACTCACACACACACTGAATTCTGCCTCTAAGCTACAGCGGTTATGGCCACCTAACCCCTACTAGCTATGGATACTCTATCCTCCTTCGGCCCACTTCGTCCTCGGGCATCTGCAGACCACCTTGCACAAGACGCTAGGGCAGCGCTTCCACATGGCTCACGCAGGAATGAATGAATGTCTGGACGCTGCCTCTTGATTTATACTTCTGTAAGTCGCTGGTCTGCCCCTTTCCACCGGGGCCATGGTGCACACAGTCCCTCATGGTATTTGCTGACTGTGCGAAGTGAGACTGGGACTGGGTACTGCTGACTAAGCGAAGTTGGACTCACCACTTGCCCACTTGCCTCTGGTCTGCTGTGAACAACGTGAGAAGAAACTTGGAAGGCCACTTCCGGACCTTCCAGAAGTCTGTGGACTTGGCCTTTCAGGACTGTAGCAGCTACGACCTTGACCTTCCAGGACTGTAGCCGCTACGACCTTGACCTTTCAAAATTGCTACAGCTATGGCCTCTGCCCAACTACGACCCCTACTCGACAGATCTACAGATCGAATCCCTACGGCTACACAGACCTATGACAGACTACAGTCAACTACCAAAACGGGTTCAAACACGCAGGGGTCGACTCGATACTGTACACGGGTGAGGTGAAGGTCTAAGGGACCAAGCCCTGGGATCTGCATCTGCTACTGCAAAGGTGAAAACCGTCCCGCCGGCCTAAATTCGAGGTCCTCCGAGAATACTTCAGTCCAAGGCAGGACCTTTACCTTTCCTATCTCCCTCATAGGCTCAAACTATATCGGGAGCGGTCTCTAGAAGTTCTGTTCGTGTGAACCAGTGGTCGTCCTTGGGTTCCTGAAAAGAGAATCTAACTTTATACTGTTTCTGTGGACGACCTCTACCTCCCGTTCTGAAGACATCTTCATTGAGTATGCCATCAATGTCGTACTTTCCATCCATGTCCGGAGGGACCATGGACCGTCGTGATGGAAACTGTTGACTGCTGGTACAAGGCAGCAACTTTGAGGCATTAGGTGTGGAGGTGTGCCGGAATCTCCATTGTGTAGGACGGTCCATCCTCTCCGCCCTTAACTTCTAGAACTGGCCACGGCCCTCTGTAAGCAGGTAACAGTTTTTGTGAGATGTTCTCCTCAGGCACAAACTCTTTTGACTTGACCC